TTTGAATACTTATGTCTTAAGAGATTTCGTTTCGGAATATGTTGAAGATTTATCGCAAAATTACGTGTACACTTTAAATATCTTGAAGTATTGCGCACTTTTAAGCGGCACACTGTGCACTCTTTAAATATTTGGAGGCACATATCGTGATCATTTCTCGTTTGTTGCACAATCACACTGTGCGCATTTTAAATCCTTTGAATAGTTACATTTTTTGTCAGAAAAGTTCTGCTTTGGCATCGCAATATTAATTTTTTTAATTATAGTGTCCAAGATTTCCTGAACCCCAATCACCCCTTCCAAGATTCCAAATTTAGAAGCAATGGATAACGCATCTTATCATTTTCATGGATAACTAGATTTGAAATGGAAATAATTTGGTTATTTGAAGTTGAAAGTTTAATTAGCTGTCATATGATATAATAATATACAGGGTGTTCCATATAAAAAGGTCGCAAAATGCGATGTTGCTTTGTTTTTTAGTCTTTCTAACTCCACAAGTAAGAAAGTTAGCACTAGCGCCGACTGAATTATTCAAACATACTGTGTATGAATCTTTTTTATATACCCAGACGAGAATAAGCAGTGTCAAATAATTATTACATACCTATGATTCGTTCGTGGACAATTTTAGGCCCGTACTCGCCTTAGTCTGGGTCCGAGTTTTACCTCTACCAAAATTACAAAAATCTTGCAATTCGTAACCTCACTTATTCAGGGCATTAGAGATGCTAAAGCGTCATCTACAAAGCCACTCTAATTTTTGTTAAATTTTGATTTTCTTGTTTTTTTAAGTTTCTAGTGACCTTGTAGTATTAATTGAAAACAAAAGTCAAATATTGATAAAAGAAAAATATTCTTTTTTTGGCACCATTCCTTTTACAGCTTTACATAGCTCTGTTGGGACCACGAAAATTTTTAGGCCAAAAATTGTGACCACAAGGCAAAAAAGGTTGAGAAACGCTGTACTAAGTTTATGGCACCCGTTACTTAAAAGTAATTTGCGACTAATTCACTATATACGTTAGCGTCCCATTTTCAACCCCCGGGATTTCGCCCGCGGAAAAATTCAGCATTTTTATTTACTTTTCTCCGATTTCCAATCACTTTATCTACATTAAAAAACCCGGTTTGTAAATTTGTCGATCAGTTGTTTAAGGCTTTACACGACATGATCATTATAAAAAAAAATTCACTTTCATAAAATAGTCTTGGTATATAGAGTCGAGGTCTTAATAGAAATAAAAACAAAGTAGGCGTGGAGACCTGTTGCCTCAATGTTATAACTAACATGAGCAAGAACAACAATTTCCATGGAAATTATTATATTTTCTGAATATCTGGAATAATGTGTACAGTGAGCGGCTAAAATATGGAACAAAGTCATTTAAAAATAAGGGGTTGGGTTAAAAAAAATGCTCGCCCACGTCTATCATAATTTTTTGTTGCGCATTTTTAGCACCAAAGAGAAAATAGGTATACAGGGTGCGTCAAAAATTTTGAATTGTGTTCTTTTTTACTTTTGCTTATAAAGAAACAAACACAATAGTCTATATATGAAGTCTGTAGACCCAGTAGAAGCAAAGTTGTAGCTCATGAAAAGTAGGTTCTCAGTCATCAAATTCCAAATCGAGTACTTCAACTTGAAATAACCAAAAAATGAAGCACTTTTCGGGGAAAACTTATGAATCCTATTTTAAAGTGTTTGAAAAAACCTTCCTTTTTGTTCCTAGCTTCAAAAGTAAGTGAGTTACGCTCAAAATAAAGTAGGTCCCTTTACGAGGAATCCCCCCCCCCCCCCTCCCGACTGTAATTAAGCGTTACCGCTTTACAGTTTACTTTATTTATGTATTGTTTATATGATCTGTAAGTTTGACCGGTGCAAAGTGCTTATTTTTGAAGTAAAAAAAATTTTGAAATTTTGAAAAATTGCCTATTTTTTCAAAATAACTTCAAAAGTATTAGTGATACGAAAAATTTACAAGAATAAAAAAATATGTGCTTTTTTCTGTAAAACAATAATTGGTTAAGATATGGATATTCAAAATTTGCACACACTCCTCATTAGTGACTCATTCGAGCCCTTTCAACTACAACCCTTTCAAAAATAAGGGTTTTAAAAAAATTAATTTGAATAATCTTATAGGTAGCTTTTAAAAAACCATGGTTTTTTAAAGCACTTTGTAGCTTAAAAATTAACCGATTTATGAGTAAAAAACCAATCACATATTTAATACATCAAAACGCGTGTAGTTACTGGAGCATTGTAAGATACACATAATGTGCTATTAAGGCACAGACATTTTATTTATTTTATTTTTTTCTACTTGTTATTGAAAATCTAGAGATCTAGGACGTATATTTCAAACAATAAGGGTTGTTTTTTTTATTAAAATAAAACAAATTCGTAAAATTTTAATTAAAAAAATTACTGTATACACGGTGTCCATTTTTCGAGTGCCACTATGGGGATCTCGCTTATCTTAAGAGATAGAAATGGCAAAGTTGCGAATTTTCGTGCTGAATAATAATTTGAAATATCTTCAGTAGTTTTGAAAATATCGCAAAAAAAAGAATATTTCTGATTTTCGTTTTTAATTTTTTCATAGTAAACTAATCGTTCTAGACATTTCTAATTAACACATTATTCAGACACTTTTTAATGGAGATTTCGAATATGGCGTCCCGTTTTAAATAACTTTTAAGATGACGGACAAACACGTGGCAACTTTCATTTTTCTTATGGGCGCCGTTTTGGATTTTGACATTTTGAGATTAGGTCTTTTTTTCTCTTTACAACGATATATCACACATGGTGGTTCAGTAACACATTTTTCCTAAAATTACAATTTTCATTTTCTTCGAAGAGTGCTTTGGAAAAACAAAACGTTCTTTTGTTATGAACAAAAGGTTGACATATTCCAAGTAGTATCATTTGCGTTTGTGCTAGTTTTATTACGAAAATATTATTTATTCTGTTCTAATTTGAATTATAATTTTCTTGCAAAACGAAGGTTCAATTCTATTCAGATGAAAATCGAATTTTCTCAACACAACTAGTTCCCTGCCAACGATCCAACCAGACAGATGGATCAACCTCTCAAACTTTTGTTCACGATAAAAGAACGTTCTGTTTTTTCAAAGCACTCTTCCCAAAAAATTAAAAAGAACATATGTTGATTAGAAATGTCTAGTACGATTAGTTTACCATGAAAAAATTAAAAGCGAAGGTCAGAAAGTTACCTTTTTTGCAATATTTTCCAAACTACTAAAAATATTTTAAATTTTTTTCAGATTCAGAAGAAAATTCACAACTTTGCCCCCATTTAACCTCTCTCTCTATCTCTTCAGGTAAGCGAGATCCCCATAGTGGCACTCGAAAAATGGACACCGTGTATATAGTATCAATGAAGAAAAAAAATTACTACAACTATTCGAATTTCTTCGCAAGGGTTGGTTTTTATAAGGGTAGAAATTATGTGGTAAAAGATAAAAATAGCAAAGAAATCTAAATTTAATGTTACTGTATAATTAAATAATCCCAAATTGCTTGAATTTACAATTATATGATTAATAGGGGTAGTTTCCACCCCTAAAAAATAAACAGCAACCAACGGCACAAATCCAATTTTGAAGTGGAGAATAAGAATAACCTACATCCAAATTTTCATACGAAGGAGACCCGGAAAATTACACAGTAACTAGCCTCAAATATTTTTGAATTTCTTATTTTATCGAGTGACATCAAAATCCAATATGGCGGCTATAAGAAATAAGAAACTTGATGTGATTTACTCGAAATCCACAAGTCATAAAAATTTCTTTTTAGCACAGAAAGCTGAGAAAAAATCACAGGGTTGGTTAACATTATTTTTTGATACCTTTGAACATAAATAATGAACGTCAGAACATTTTCGAAAATGACATTTTTCGGTTTTTTGGTCATAACTTTGCTATTTCTAGAGCTACAAGAAATTAATAATAATAATAATATATTATAATAGTTTATTGACCAACAGAACGCATCAATTTACAGGTCAACTTAAATATATATAGAACATATAAAGCATTGTGCATTAATAACAATATATAATAATAATAATAATCAGCATAAAATTCTACATAACTTTGCCCATTTAACCGACTTTTGTATCTCTTACGGTTTACGAGATACCTACTATGGACATGAAAAAAAATCTCACCCTGTATGTATGCAGCAGCAATGGCTTTTCGGTAAAAAAAACATTAAATACGGTAATAACTCTATAGGATATTATTGACTTTGAGGGTATACCTATATCTCCCAGTAGGTAGGTGTGGCTAGGTTTCTGTGAGAAGCACACTAGCGAAGCACTGCCAGATCACGACATTTGTGCTTCATTACTGGAAAAGCTGTGGCTAACTTCCCGCCTCTAACTTTGAGGCTTTATATCTCCTAAACCGTAAGTGTGGCTGGGTTCCACTGTGAAGCAGAAATGAATATACCAGCGAAGCACTAAGGATTCTGCCAGATCACGATATTTGTGCTTCATTAATGTAACAGCTGTGGCTAAGGTACGGCCTCTAACTTTGAGGCTTTGTATCTCCTGAACCGTAAGTGTGGCCGGTGTCTGATGTGAAGCACAATGAAGCACTGGTGGCGGCATTTGTGCTTCATATCGGTGAGCAACTTCCTGGACTTTGAAACTTTAGTATGCGCTCCGAATGCGGTAATGCAATAAATAACGCAAAACAGCTACACCGCAAATAAATAGCAACGGGCATAACTGAAATGCCGCATTAGAACTTGCACTTCGCTTAAGAATTCGAAATTTGTCAAAGAAGACAAATTAAGAAGTCAATCCTTTAGATTGTTACCGGCGCGGGTTTTTCGAGTATTCATCGGAGAAGATTGTGATCTAAACACGTGTCGGATGCCAAAGGATTGATTATCAAAATCACCAAACCGCCTTTTTTTGCCGCCGTCGATGAAATAAAAAATTTAAGCGGAAAATACGCACCCCTTTCAAAAAAACCACTCTCCTCCTCTTTCAATTCGGTCACCACAAATTGCACAAATCACTCACAGCACAAACAACAAAAACTATCATCAGGCGCGCGATAAGAGCCGTGCTAAAGTCGCCGAGCTTTAGATCGTGTTTGTTTAACTCTCGGGGAAGACTGTGGCCCGGACTGATTAACGCTCCGCCCCCCGAGACGAAGCGCGACAACTCTCACTCGCTCTCTCTCTCTCCTATCTCCCTACCAAAACCGCATTTTTCCATACAATTATCATAATTCTCTCGCAGATTATTGATACTATCTCGAAAATAAAGAGCAATTTTCCCCCCTCGAAAAATTGCTTTTTTTCATAACTCGCAGTTAATCGATTTAATTATTTTAAGAATTCAAGTGAGCGGAGTGGAAAAAAATTCGAAAAGTATGGTGGATGGGATCCCTTTTATTTATACACACAAAACCACTTAACTGATGATGCCATATAAGATATCAAGCTCTGCTCTGGCTCTGTCCCTCTATCAAGAATCACTTAATATGTACTGAACTCGATTAGGTTTGATTTTTGTTACCTCAAACTTGCGGGGGATCGGAATTGCATTATTTAACGTTATCGCCGAACGAGATGGATGTACGGTAAATGGCGATGAACTACAAAAGTGTAGCCCAAAATAACTCGAAAAAGCGATCTTTAGTACTCGCCAAAGTGCTCTTTAGAGATGCATTAGACCCTTCTTCAGAGACAGAGTGCGTCGTCTGATGTTAGCTACGACCTACGACGCTCAGGAAAAACTCAGAAGGTTTTGGCAAGGGTTGAAGATGTGGAACGCTTTGGAAAGGACGTGTAAGATTAAAGAAAAATGTGGACAGATTGAATAGCTATCTCTTGAAAGACTACAGAACCTTTGGACTTCTTCCATAACATTCTTATCTTTCCTGGAGCTCTGTTGGGCTTATGTTATAGAGATATTTAGGAAGGAACCCCCAAATTGTGCTTTCCAAAGTTATTCGAAAAGCCGCCACGCCAAAGCTTTCCACGCATATTCTTCCACCTTTCCACATCCCTTTGGGTTCTTTTCTGAGCTGAGCATAATAATAAAAAGTTAGTTTGTGGTGGAAATTCCGAGGGCCTGTTAACTTGCCCCCCCCCCTCACTTAGAGATTTGATAGTCGTATGATTACAAATGAATGCGCTCACACACGCCGCCGATAGTTACTCTTGCACCATTATCGTTTTTTATAATTTCGAAAATACATTTGGGATAGGCCATGTGTACGTACCTCCTCCCCCCCCCCTCACTACATATTTTGTCGCTGGTACCTAGATCGTTTGGTTATGCGCTCAATTGCGCCACTTGAATTGAACGGTTAAACCATAAAACATTTTTAAAAACTGGGGATTACTCTCGAAGATATGCCAGAAATTCGCGCCGATTTCGTTTTAATTTTTTTTTTTATTTTGCCTTTATTTTTGAGTTATTTGAACAGATACAAAAAAAAATAAGAAACACTTTTGCATGGCCACTTTTTGAGCTCTACAAGACCGTTGAGAGATTTTCAATTTAGAGAAATCATCATCAACAAATTTCCTGGAAAATGAAAAATGTCTCTTCTATGGTTTCGGAGATCCCCCCATACTTATCTTGGATACAGTGTATATATATTGTAAAGGAATCCTAAAAGACTATAATCAATAATGGCGCAAACATGTCTATTGACGGCGCATTTGAGAGAATGATGAAAGTAGTTAAAAAAACATGTTAAAAACGTGACTTTTGAAAACGTAAAGTTAGCCCCTCCCCCACTTTTTGAAAATTTGTCATGGCTTATCCGTGACAGCGCCATCTTTAATATAACCAGATGTACCAGATGGCATAGATAGAAAATAAAAATACGACACCAAAGCAATAATATTCAAATTAATTAATATGACAGCCAGATCTTCATTTGTTTTAAGAAGTTATCTTGCTCGCATAAAATTAGGCGCCCTTTAGAAGGGATTTTGTGATCTTCTTAATAAATATCAGTGTAGATATAGGTAGAAGAAAGGTTCCCAACCATAATAGCGCACAGATTTATGTTGTCGGCGCTTTGGGCGTTTCATTAAAGGTACGCTGTAGTGCAAAAACTATGGTAAAAAACGTAACTTTTGAAAACATGAAGTTTGTCCCCTCCCCCACTTAAAAAAAATTGTATGGATTAATCGTGGTGCAAAAATAAGAATGGCGCAAAGATATCTTTTTGCGACTCATTTTAGTGCATTATACCTAGGTAATTCCGTATGGAAAGATGATAGAAAAAAGTAACTTTTAAAAACGGTAAGTTGCCCCCCCCCCCCACTTTTTGAAAATTTATCATGACAACCGTGATGACGCTAGCTTTAATTCAAAGTTGCGCAATTGAGCGCATAACCAAATGTATCAGGCGGCCTAGGTACCTGCGACAAAATACATTGGGGGGGGGGGGTGTAAACTTAACCTGCATTTTCGGATTTCTAAAAAAACGGTAATGGTGCAAAAGTTACCCGTGTGCGCATGAGAGCGCATTACTTTATACAGTACGATGACAATCAAATTTCTAAGTGAGGGGGGGGGGGGGGGAATTAAAATTTAAAATATCTACTAGGATTCCTTATAACGGAATTTGATTGCGCTTCTGAAGGCTCCCCATGGAATATTCTCTGGTAGATCCAACACACCGCCCTCGTTATATTCGACCTGTAACATTCTACCCTCGGAAAACTTACTCCCGAAAGCGTTCACTTCCGGAAAATTGTCTTAAATCGGAGTACTTTCTCGCTATAGGAACTGGTTCCAGGGAAAATTTACTTCATCCGCATCCGCTGTAGATTCGCCGGTGAAAGACACGACAACGGAAAATAGTTTTCAACTAGAATAGTTTCCGCGCTCAAGAAACTACGCCTATGGGCGAAAAAGTGCCCTGGGAATATTCGACATCACTGTGTAGCGGACGAATATTCCATCGGAGAAGAATGTTGCGTAGAGGGGGTGATTAGAAGGGTACTGTAGAACCAAAAGCGAATTTTCTTAAAAGCATTTCGAAATTTTTTGAACGTAAACGTTTTTTGAAGCAAATTCCCAGTGAGGGAGATTATCTCTTAGGGGGGCCAATCTTCCAGGGACAAATTAATTGAAATTGCCTGTGAACGAGTTTTAGAGGTAGAATTTTTAGTGAGTTAGAGATTTTCCGCATCTGAATGGCTCGCAAAGGTTTTGAACCTTCCTAATGAACAATTCTCCTAAATGCTATTAAAGACTATGATCTTTTCTGAGAACCTTTGGGAATTCGCAACATTAAACATTATTAAATTTTTTTAATGCACGCGCCGCATGCACATCCGGCAGCAAACTAAAACGTGCTGCACCCTCATTAGTCAAAACGGCCAACCGAAGAGAGCGTAGCGTCCCTGGCCGCGAACGTTTAAAAACCCGAATTCCGCATAGGCAATACAAAACAAAATGGCACAAATGACTTATACAAGGTAAAAGGCTCCCTCCAAGAAAAATCGAAAACTAGATCGCTTTGGGATGATATAGGTAGTTGAACTCTTAACTAAGGTAACTCTAAGGTAACTACATAATTTTTGTTTTATGCAAATGTCGTAAGCTTATATACTCGTATTTGAATGAATGTTATTGCAACCAAAAATTTTGACCCAAAAGTGGAAACAAATTTCCAATTTTTCAATGTAAACGCCACCTTAACGTAAATTTCTGTGCCCGCCAAATTTAGTGGTGAATCCGACACTTTCTTTCAACTAAAATCAATCGAATCTCTCTCAGAACTTTGCGATTAAGGTAGAAATTGTAAATATTCAAAGGCTTATTCGCGATCGAAGTTAAGTCGGTTTTTTACACGTCGTCCGTCTTTGCGTAAGCTCTGCTCGGCGGTAGGTACATATGTAAATTTTCCTACTTTATATGAAATATACGAATTAGAAAAAGAGCTTTTCCGTTACAAAAACTGAGCTGTTAAATAACTTTAATCCACTTTCGACGTCCTGTTCACCCGCAATTCGCATTTTTCCAGATTTCTCTAATAACCGTCCACAAAATAGCACTCAGTTTTTGGGTACTTTTCATAGCTTGGCGACACGAGAAAGAGAGACTGCGATTAAGAGTTCTAAGAAACCTTTGGCCGCCCAAAGTCGACTAGTTCTCAGACACGTGCCTTGTAAAACGTAAAAGATAGATTTTATATACAGGATTGGCCGTATATACCTAACATTAGAGTCTTGAAACAGTTGTTCCGTCCTAAAATATGTAATCGACCATTCACTCTAAAAGATTTTGGGACCGCAGTACTGTACAGTGTACACGGCCAATAAACAATCCTGAATAGCTCTGATGAGCATCAGGGGAGGATGAGAGGGGTGGCGAAATTTGCTTTTGCCAAAGTATACCAGGGGTGTAAAACCAATCCGTATGGTCCTGCTTGGTGTGTTTTTAGAACACGAAATTAAGATAGGTATATTACAGTCCTAAACAGATTTAATATTTTTTATTTCCATTTTATGACGATTAGTCATGTTTAAATTACCTCATTTGCGTAAAATCCCGCTAATTTCATGCAAATGAACACCACTTCCGATTCTTGCAACCCGACCAGATGTAAAACAAGTAAAAAGTAAACATTTCTCATCATGTATTTAGATTAGGCACGACATCAACAATTAGGCACAGGAGCCCAAATGAGCGCGGAAAAATTCGGTGCCTTATTGAACGATGTCAATTGGACAAAGTGGGCTACCAATTGGGGTGGTTTTTTCGATTCACTTTACTCTGTAGACATCCTTTTGTCAGCACCCAATTGTCAGATAGTGCGTAAAGACGTCAGAATGTTATATAATTATTTAATCACGTGATCAGTAATTACCTTTTTGAGGTTTTTACGTCTCCTCGTGAAAAGTCACAGTCTAAATATTAAAAGTGACTCAAGTTACTAATAAAAAATCAAATTTATTTAAATGGAGGAGGGGGTCAAATGTCGTTCAAGAGTAAAAGTAATTTTTGATGTTTAGTGCATGCATCTCAATTGAACAAAAATAAAAACTCACCCTTAGCCTTATTAGTTCAGTCTCCAAAGGAAGCGCCATTACTCATATTCATCCAATCTTTTATCTCTCATTGTACTACTACTGCCCTTCTTTGTTTA